GAGAGAGAGAGAGAGAGAGAGAGAGAGAGAGAGCGCACGCACACATGTGTGCCCACGTGCTAAGGATTAAGGTCAAATGGAGCAAAAAGAACTTGTTGCTTGCATGGCTCTGTTTACTTGGGTTCTCCGTTGCTGTGCTCTTGGACTTAACCAAGAGGTCTCGTCTGCCCTTCAGCCTGATCAGTTTGCCTGGGTTGGGCCTGGTTGCTTCAGCGTGTGGAAGCTCCGTCTCCATGGCCGTATTCTTAGCCCCACTCTGTGTTCTTGTTGTCATTTACTTTACTTCTACCTGTAAAAATACTTTGAATATTATTGTTGGCTTAAACAGTCAATAGTTTTTAATTCCCAGAGTAGTTACAGATCTGAAATTAAAACATAAGACATAGATTCATTACAGCACAGCATTTGCAGGGACCACTTAGAGATTATTTTGATTGAGTAAAAAAAAAAAAAAAAAAGATTGAGGTCAGAGATGTTCATGTGGCTGCCTGTCTCATTGCTAATAAGAGGGGTGATCAGGAAGGGCCTAAAATGTGCGTGTCCTTCCTCATATTCTGTGTCTGAGAACTGAAACTGGTTCCCCACTCAAACTATTCTCCCTCACCATTGTATAGCCGCCTCCTTTACTTATAAATGCCTGAAGCTATAGACAGCGGGCCATTTCTGACCTGGAAGTTGAAGCAGGTCAGATACTCCCATGTATCTCGCTGCATCACTGCAGGCTTCGGCGCTCTAATAGGCTGCACCCTCTGTGTTCCCTCCAGTGGGGACTGTCCCTCCCCACGCCGCTGCCCTGGAGCTTGTGTTCCACTGGGACTGCTCCACTCAGGGCCTCACGCAAGCACTGTTCCCTGGGGAGGCTTTCTCTTTCTGTCCGGAGTACTTTCCTTTTCCTTTCAGAGTCCCCTCAGTAGTGTAGCTCTCTGTTAACTCTCTGCCTTTTCAGGAGGCTGCACGCTCCATGAAGGCAGTGTTTGCATCTTTGTGTTCTTAATAGTGAACATAGAGCTGTACATGTAATGCGTGTCAAGTGAACCTTCTCTTACTAGAGCGACCTTCCTGAGTTCACTGTGCACCTCCTGCTTCATGGAAGGTTGTGGTACAAACACCACGTAATGATTTTCTGGATAAGTTTTTGTTAAAGTCTAGCCTTACCTCTTGTCAACGACTGAAGGGTTCAGAGTACTGACCTTCTGAAAATGAGAATATTTTTTTAAACTTTATTTATTTTTATTATTTATTTATTTTTTTCAAATTGGTAGGACAGTTTCAATAATTAACACATTGCATACATTCTTTCTAGTGGTTAATTGCTGTACAAGATGCAGACATGATATCCTATTTACAAACACCATTAGAACAAATCACTATTCATTAAGAGACTGTAACTATACATCTATCCTAACCACTTTGAATATACAGATACAAAATGGACATTCATCTGTATACCCTTTTCTTGTTAAGTTCCGTTATTTGAATATTATAAGTGTGTGAGAATATTGTGTTGAAGTAAGGTAAAAAACACTGGAGGTCACGAGTTTGGGGGTTAATCCAGAGATACAGGAGACTGTCACTTGAGGCAGAAGTCTTCCAGGGGAGCGATCCACACCAGGGGACATTTACTGGCATCAGCCCCACTTGCAGGGAAACCTCTGTCCTGGTCCTGTGACAGCTGTAGGAATGCTGAAGCCATAGCCAGCCAGGCCTGGAGCGTGGCTGACCAAATGCTTTCCTGTGTGCAGCAGCAGCAGCACCTCTGTCAGCAGGGCAGTGTGTCCTGCCAGGCCAGCGTCCTTCTGTCTGCGGCTTAGTTCTGTGTACTTCAGAAAGTAGCTGGTAAGTTCCACTGAAATGGGGAAACAGCAAAACATGAAGTAGACACGTGAGTGGAAGTCTTCAGGCCTCACAGCCAGGCGGGGACACACGGCAGCGGCCCGGGACAGGTAGGCGTGCGGCCACTGCCCTGGGGGTGAGGCGGCATGTTCTTCCGCCTGACTTGGGACTCCCAGCTCCTGTGCTGTGGCATAGTTTTCATCATTTCAATTATTTTTGTGAAATTTATAAAAAAAACTGACCTATTTTTATTTAAAATATGATACTTTATGCTTTTCTAAAGAAAGGAATACAAACAGTATCTATAGGATGATTTATAGAAATCATTTGAAACAGCCAAATCACTTCAAAACATGGAGGATTACTGGACAGCTTTCATTGAGTAGGAGGCAACTGGGATAATTTTAGGAATAACTGAACAGATTTTTAAACTAAAAATCATTACAAAATTCCTTTTCATTGCAAAGGAAGAATCTCTAATTCAGTTTAAGCAGTAACCTGTTATTTGAATTCCCTAGTCCAGAAAAGGAGGATTTTGGAGGTGGTGAACACTTCTAAACGTTGTTGTAGCCACAGACAGATGGGCAGAGCAGCAAGCAGACAGGCTGGACTATGACTGACAGCGGGGTGACTGACTGAGGGCAGCAGGGCCAGCTCCGCGAGGGACGCAGTCGGTGCCTGTGAGTGGCTCTGCCCACGCATCTGTGGTGCTGGCCTTTTCTAATGGGTGGCAGGGGGACAGAATTTTTAAAATTCACCTTTTAACTTTTGTGAGGAGTTACGACAAAATGAGATCAAATTTATCCATGTGCAGTTTCTGGGTGGCAAGTGACAGGTTAAGCTTTCTGCCTGAAGTCCTGTGTTTAGCACCTGGCAATCCCGTGCTGCTCACGTGGCCCCTTCCTGAGGCTCGCTGGTCGCAGTGCAGCCGGCCCTGTCCGGGATGGGCAGAATCACGCGGGCCTGGAGGCTCACCCTCGTGGTGCTCTGTGAACCGGACTAGGTGAGAGGTGGTTGGTGTCTGACGTTTTTGGGTTGATGAGGAGGATGCTCGCCCAGGCCAGTGTCAGAGTTCATGACAGTGTGTAATATTCTACAAGAACACTGTGTACCGCAGTTCCTGAGACTGCCACATCCAGAAAAATCTGTCCCTGTCTCTTGTGGATAAATGCCTGCCAAGCCTTGGCTGTCTGGTGCCTCTAGTTCTCAAATCCCTGGACAGAATGTGCATCTCCGCTGCAGTTCTGCCTGAACCCTGACCCTTCTACCTGTGGTGTTGGGCTATTGTGTTGTTCTTGGTTGATCTCCAAGCCTTTTTTGCTTCACATCTGTAAGTGTTCTTTGAAACTTTTGTGAAAAGAGGAAATTTATACTCTCTCTGTGGGTTGTTCTGGTTTCATTTCTGCACAGTAACATTATTGCTAACTCCTGGCCTCTGTCTTTCTTCTACCAATGCAAGTGCTGTAAAAGCGCGTGGAACACACCAAGGGTGTGGTCTCTGGAGGAAGAGGTAGGAGAATCAGGTTGTGACCCTGATGTAAATAGTACTGAAGTTGTAAGTAGAGTCAAAAACACAATCTGAGTAAACAGTCTTACTAGAAAACATCACCTTGACTTAAAAATTCCTAGAAATTTTGACTTAGGTCTAATACATTCAGAGAAATGTAAAAAAAATACATTTAACATGGATCTAGAGGTATTGACAATTATCGTTGCAAAATTTTTCCTCTTTCTTTTCATTTTCACTCCAGTTTCCACACAGACAGACACACACACACCTTAAGGCTTTCTCTTGGGTACTGGTGACAATGTGTGCACTCATGGTGTTGGCTTTCTGCAGCACTGGGGACATCAGCATCATGGAGTTCGCAGCCTGGAGCACTTCTGAAATTTCCCAGAATGCTCTGATGTACTACAGCGGCCGGCTATTCTGGATCAACGGCCTCAGGATGATCACTGCGCAGGAAATCGGGCAGAGGACTAGCGTGTCTGTGTCGGAACCCACCAAATTCGATCAGTTCACAATCATCCAGACGTCCCTCAAGCCCCTGCCGGGTGCAGTGTTTTATTCTTGCGTATTCCCTCTCCTCTGCACTTTCTATTAAATACGTGTTTAGGTTTGAATGATTTTAAGTAGAAAAAGGTAGTAGTAGTTTTTGTTGCCTTATTTGCAATCAGTTTAAACTTAGCTCAAATTTATAGCTGAAAAAGTCAGGAAAGGTGATTTTCAACATGTTAATATAGGAAGGGAAAACTTTGATTCGGCTCTAATCAGCCCTAGTTTCTGTGATGACCAATGGTCTTACATGCCTTTCCCTTCCCTCCCTCCCTCCCTCCCTCCCTCCCTCCCTCCCTCCCTCCCTCCCTTCCTTCCTTCCTGTAGGGAACTTTTCCTCAGCCCCTAAGGTTGTGCCAGATCCTGTTCCTAAGTCTTCATTTAGGGTTGAAGGAAATGCCTCAGCTTTTCAGGTCCTGTGGAGCAGCCCCCCCGAGGTGGACTGGGGTGAGGTTTTCTACAGCGTGGAACTCAGGGCTCACTCCAAGGTACAGTGCTGGCTCTGGCCCCCTCCACTGGCATGCAGACCTGCCCTCGTGTCAGGCCACACATTGCGTGTGCCGAGCACCTCACCTCGGGCCCTGCCTCAGCACTGGGTCATCAGGGCTGTTAACTTGCTCTTGCGGTCTTGGCCACTTTGTGCTAACCACCACGTTGGGCACGCTCTCCCTGGCCTCAGATGTGCCAAATCAGCCTTTCTTTATAAATGAAGCAAAGTTTGGGGATTTTAGTTAATCAGGAATGAAAAATCTTATAATTCTTTTCCTAAGGAAACAATGTTCTTGTGCTTCTATTTTAGTTCCTGGCTAGTGAAAAACAGCCTTTACCTGTGTTTACCGTGGAAGGGCTGGAGCCGCACGCCTGGTTTAATCTTTCAGTCACTCCTTACACGTACTGGGGAAAGGGGTCCAGAACTTCTCTCTCGCTTCGAGCCCCCACTACAGGTACTGGGGTAAAATTCTCTCTTTAAAGATGCAAAATTTTACTTTCCGTGATCTCAAATGAATAGTTAAGGATATTTAAAACAACTTTCAGTTTTGTTAGGTGTGTTTAGATTCTCAGCTTTTTCAATAAGTTTTGGAAATTAGAAGAATGTCATTAAAATAACCTGCATAACTTACTTTAAAAGAGGAAAGTTTCAAAGATTTCTTTTTTTTTGTTTTGTTTTGTTTTTTGGCAGAACCAGGGACTGAACTCAGGCCCTTGCGCTTGCCAGGGAAGCACTTATTCCACTGAGCCATCTTCCCAGCCCCAAGATTTCTTACAGGATGTTTCACTTAATTGTAAGATATGCAAGAGGCATAGCTATGTTTCAGATGCTTGCAGAACCTTTCCTAAGGAAATGTATGTTGAAGAGTAGAAGTTCTTACTTTAGAAGGCAGATGTTCCTAAAGATGGTAATTCAGGATGTTCTATGGGTGGATAACTGCTGTTTTTATATTTTACATTTCTTGGAAATATATTTTAAAATGGTCTTACATGTACTGGGAACAGATGTGTGTACTCATTGGCATTGTGTTTCTGATTCCATTTTTATACAGGTGAGTCAACTTTTGCATGTGTATGATTCACAACCACGCACAATATGGCTACTAACCACCTTCTTACATGTGTGTGTATGTAAAAATGTGTTTAAGTCAAAATATGGTTCCACATAAAGGGCACAAAGACACATACACACACAACATCACTCTTTAAAATGTCTATTTCACACCCACTGTGTGTCAGAATTGTTTTTTTTTAATTGTGAAATTCATATTACTTTATTTAGTGAAGTTCTGCATCATTTGTAATTTTGCATTTAGTACTATTTTGTACACTCTTTAAAAAATAAAGAAAATTTTTAGAAAGATTAAAGAAACTAATTTTTAGGGAGGAATTTATTGAGCCATCTCCTTTTATACTAAAGATACCTGCTTTTAGTCCATAAATGTTGCTCCTAAAGATAGTTTAATCTTTTTCTTCTTTTGACATCAGTTATTTTATTTTAAAGAA